AAACATGTTTTTATAAATGCGTAATGCTATAAGTCCTTTGTGTAATCAAATGATAATTTAATGCATGTATTTTAACAAAAATGCGTTTGAGCTTATTCATGCAAGAAGTCAGTTACCCTCATAATTAATTCTAAGTCCTAAAGTATATTACTTGAGAATTCTTGGACTTAGATTCTTCTCTTGAAGCTTGAATCTTAAAGGACTTCATGAGCGTTAGTTGTTTGTTTCTTTTTTATTGTTGCTACTTGAAGCCTTCCTTCCATGCTTTGTTTGTTATCATTAAAATCCTAGAGTCTTTATGTTCTGCATTGGTTCCACAGTTACACTGACCTTAACTAATGGCTAGGTTCTAAGGCAGTTGGATGTAAACAATGCATTTCTTAATGGATATTTGGAGGGAGATGTTTTCATGGTTCAACCTCATGGTTTTGAGCATGCCAATAAAAGTCTTGTTTGTAAGTTAAATAAAGTTATTTATAACCTTAAGCTGGCTCCTAGAGCTTGGTTTGACAAACTGAAACATTCATTGATTTATTTTGGATTCAAGCCTAGCTATTGTGATGCATCACTATTCATCCTTAAGACTGCCTCCAGAAGTATATACATACATGTGTATGTTGATGATATAATAGTTACAGGGACTAATCATTCATTTATTAATTAGATAATTTTTCAGTTTGCCTTGAAAGATTTGGGAGAATTAGATTACTTTCTTGGTGTTGAAGTCAAGAAACATGTTTCTAGTGGTTTGACCTTATGTCAATCCAAACATATCAGGGATTGTGGCAAATAAGGTGTTGAATTACTATATATATATATATGTGTGTGTGTGTGGGAGCATGATATTCTTACACCGGTGTAAGAGTTAGAAGTCTTACACTCAATCTTGATCATTGATCCATTTGTATCAAATAGCTCACATTACTAAAAAATTTCAGCCCTTAGATATAAGTGCGAGATTAACAGACAAGATTAAGAGTGTAATTTATACTGGTGTAAAATGATATTGTCCCATGTATGTGTATAGTCAAAGATTTAAATGTATATTTTTCACACACAAGAAAAAAGAAGATTTAAATGTAACTTTAAAAAAGAAAACATGAATATCAACTAATATAGACTTCATTCTCATATTTTTCTCAGATTTTAAGATAGCCTCAATAATGCATAAATAAAATTTGGTAAGGAGTTGCCCATGCAAATATCATTTTCATTCTTAAAAGGGAAAATAAAGAATATTCTATGAAAATTCAATGAACATGAGAGGGTTAAGACAAAATCCGCGCATGCTAAGCAGGAGCAGCTGAACCTTCAAACTTGAAAAGATCCGATCAACGTGAAGATTCATTGGATATTCTTTCAAGACGAATGCCATTGGCCAGTTCCTGATTAGTATGAATTTAAAAGACATATTCTCAAGTATCTACTACTTAATTATATCTTCTGTACGTATTTTATTTAATATAAAAAATTATATATTTATATAACTCTTATTTTTATAATTATTTTCTTTCAATTTTTTTTTGCCCTTTTGAAAAAGAGAGTACGGACTCCGCACCTAAAATATGCTGCTTAGCCTAAGAGTTTCATTATTCTTAAATTTGTGTCAAATCCGAATAAAAAGACATTATCGAGTACGACAAATTATGTAAATATTGTTTCATAGCAGAAACAAAAACTTGTTTTCATAAATAACAATTGGAAAAAGTGTATGTCAGATGTAAAATTATGTCATTTTAAGATAGAGAAAAAGGTAGATAAAGAAGTAGAGATAGTTGACAAAAAAATTAAGGTATGGATCCTACTTCTTTGTGAGAGTAAAAGGATATAAGTTGTGTCATTTAAAAGGATAAACATTTTTTTCATAATAATTATATTTTATATTTCATTGAAATAAATTTTGACTCAGGAATTAAAAACATTCATTGAAAAATAAGAAGTGGAAAAGCATGAAATTACTTTTAACAATAATTTCTCGAGAAATATTTGTTTCTAATGTTGGATTAACGTGAAAATATTAGAAGTATTTTTTTAAAAACATAAAATAGATTTCTCCATTAGATTCCAAATAAGACAAAAGCTCATTAACATTTCCACGTGTTAGGCTTTTACTTGTTTTCAAACACATTGGTTCATAATAATCTAGGTAACTAATAGAAGCCTAGAGAAGAAAAAAGAGAATATACTATGACTATCATATAGTATTTTCCCTTATAAAAAGTGGAGATAATATATCAAAATACGATATGCTCTATGGTTAGGTGCAGATAATGACTTGTCCAGTTAATAACCACAATACAAGTACCAACGTTTTTGTTTCTGGCTATTTGATTCCTTTTTTTAAAGATTGTGCTTATCCTTTTAGTTCCAAGTCCTAACCAACCCTTTTGGGAAAGGCCACGCGTCACTTTGGTAAGTGGCACTGAAAGCTACCTTTGTTGACTGCTTCATCAGGAATTTTTGACTAATGTTACCGTGATTATATACACAGAAAATCTGTTATTTTTTTAAAAAAAGTTTAAACTAACAATTATTCTGTATATTTGTTTAGTTTAACTAAAATATAAAATTTTAAATTATTACATATATATATGTAATTCAAGTAAAATATAAAAAGTAGATATTAAAAATATACTTGAAAGCAGTATAAATTAAGAAATTTAACCATTCTCTAAACATTTTCATATAAACAAATATTTTTTCTATATCATTATTTTTCAAAGAAAGAATAATACTAATTTTATTGAAAAAGTATTTATCATTTTAAATAACATAATTTTGTATCATTTTAAATAAAATAATGTTGTTTTTGATGCGAATTTGATAATTTTTTACATTTAAAATTAAGAAGAAAGAAAAAGTAGAGGAGAGAGAAAGTAAAAATTACCAATTATGCACTAAAATGATGTTATTTCATCTAAAATGATATAAAGTTAGGGAAATATAAGAATCATGTTGCAGGAATGACACTGTTCATTCTTGCAACAAGGATCCAACAACGTATCTTGAGAATACGGCGCCGTATCCTGATTTTGGTTTGACTTTTTTTTAAGCGTGAGACCCACACTTGATTTGTGTGTGCAGGAAAATGGTCTTGTCATGTGACATGACAAAAAGCGAACCCATAAAGTTATATCATTTAAAATGACAAATATACTTTCTTAATTTTACGGGGAAGGATATTCTAACAACCAAGTTGTGTTACTACCATGTTACTACCATGTTACTACCAATCAATTTCACCGTTAGATCGCTTATGTTGATCCAACGGTGTAACATCCCGGGCGCTGACGAGGGCAGTGAGTGATCGCCGGTACGAAAGGGCATGGACAAGGAGCGGCTCCTGGCAGGTTTCCAGCGACGGGAGAACATGAATGAATCGAATCAACACCCGAAAGAGAGAGATTCCAGAGACTGTACTGGTATGAGACGGTACAGTTGGGAATAACTTATAAGAATTAATTGGTACTACCTATACTAACAAGATGCATCTACTTTTCTGTAGCCCAGAACGGAAGAACTCCATAGTTAAGCTTGTTTGACTTGGGGCAATTCTGGGATGGGTGACCTCCTGGGAAGTTTTTCCGGAAATTGTGCGAGTGATGACAAAGTTCGCTGAAAAGTCTCGTTTTAGTGTGTGGGGACAGTCGGTGATCCTTGCAAGTTGCCAAGCGTTACAAACGGTTATATTTATTTCCATCTTTATATGATCATGATTTCTCAAATTTAATACTTTATATTTATTTTCACCTTTGTATGGTTATGATTTTTCATATTTAATGTTTTCACTTTAAATATGGAGAATCATAACCATACAAAGATAAAAATAAATATAACCTTTAGATCAACATAAGCGATCTAACAGTGAGATTGATTGGTAGAAACATGGTAGTAACACAACTTGGTTGTTACAATATCCTTCCCCTAATTTTATTACTTTATCTTTACATTATTTCTTTCGAAAATATTGAAATAAGAGAAACATATATTTTACTAAATATTTTTTTTAAACAACTAAAATGTCAGAAATAGTATAAAGAAAGTGGTACGTAAGAAGTATAATTAAAAATCAAAAGTATGTTTACCAAAATAAAAATTAAAAGTATAATATGTACCCAAAAATAATAATTAAAAGTATAAAATTTTGACTTTTTACTTCAAACCTTGTATGGTCCAACCTCTAAAAGCAAAATTTCAAACAGCTAGGTGAGAATTAAGAACATCAATGAAACACGCAACGTGTATGAGTTTTGATGAAACTCAAAACGAGATTTACGAAATGTTGCAAATGTCTTTGTTTTTTTTTCTTAAATTTACATTGTTGATATTTTTTTGTTGTTGTTGTTGTTGATATTTTCATATTTTGGTTTCAAAACACTCAACATTAGAAGACACGTTACTTTCTCCACCACTTTTACTGCCAAACCAACGTAAATAACTCATGTTGTTGAGTTGTTAAAAAAATTATTCTTTCGCTTTGGGGTAAGGTGGTGAACACGTACAAGCCACATGTCCCATCTCCCAAGCATCTTTTGCAAAGGAATTACGTCATGGCTGATTTGATGAATTTCATTTATACATAGATAGAAATTTTGATCATTTGCTTTCACACAAGAGATTGGGTCTTTTACACTAACCAATTCTTAATGCAAACAAAAAATAAATAAACAAATCACTTATAGTCACATGTTTCAAAATTCGACCCAGAAAATCATAAGCAAAAGGAATAATTTAAAAGGAAAAAAAAAAAAGGGTTCATGGTACTTCCACTCCTCTTAATTTGATTCTTTGAAGATTATTCCATATGGGCCAAATAATAATATATTTATATAAATGATCCAAGAATTCAGAAAACTAGATGCTGACTTCACAATTATGTGAAACTCTCTCTACATATTTGCAATATGCCAATAATATTCCTATGGAGCATTGAATGCAACACAATGTGGATAAAGACGTGCCAGTGTTAGCTCAAATAATATAAGGGGAAAAAGTCTGGTAACAGATAGGTGAAGGTGTTATGGCCTCTCATTGGAGCATAGTAGGCTTTGGTGACGCATATACTAAGGTGTAGAAAAGTCATCTTAGGAACCAATCAAAGCCTTGCAACTCCAATAAACGACAAGAAACCTCAACCATAAAAGGGGCATCCATCTCATTGCAAACATTTCAAACACTTGGATTTCTCTTGAAGCCTCTCTTCCAATTTCCTTTACAATCCTTTCCCTTCTTCTGTTATAGCAAAAAGAATCCAAAAGTAGTTTCCATTCAAACTTTTTTATTCTCTTTTTTCTTTGTACTCAATGGAGGGCAGCACAAGCTCTGAACTCCCACCTGGCTTCAGGTTTCACCCAACTGATGAGGAACTAATCGTTTACTACCTTTGTAACCAAGCCACATCAAAGCCATGCCCTGCATCCATCATCCCAGAAGTGGATATCTATAAATTTGATCCATGGGAATTGCCTGGTATATATATATATATATATAGTAACATCACTTTCTAAACCTTTGTTATTATTATGTCTAAATTTGAATGTGTTATAGTCCATAATGTCCCCTGTGCATGCACCACTTATTCATAAAGATTAACTTCTCATGAAATGCAGATAAAACAGACTTTGGAGAAAATGAATGGTATTTCTTTAGCCCAAGAGAGAGGAAGTATCCAAATGGGGTGAGGCCTAATAGAGCAACAGTTTCTGGGTATTGGAAGGCTACTGGCACAGACAAAGCAATCTATAGTGGGTCTGAACATATTGGGGTGAAGAAAGCTTTGGTTTTTTACAAGGGTAGGCCACCAAAGGGTCTAAAGACAGATTGGATCATGCATGAGTATAGATTAATTGGATCAAAAAGACAACCTAGCAGGCAAATTGGGTCCATGAGAGTAAGCCCTTTTAAGTAGTCATTTGCCTAATCTGAATTTTAACTGTTTAAAATTTCTCTTTAGTTTGCTATTTAATGTTTTGCTCTAATTGGCCTTACCCTTGTGCTTGGATGTGTCACCAGCTGGATGACTGGGTCTTGTGTAGGATCTATAAGAAGAAGAACAATGGAAAATCATTGGAGGTGAAAGAGGAGTACACAACAGCACAAATCAATCTGACACCAGCAAATGATGATAGTGAACAGGAAATAATGAAATTTCCAAGGACATGTTCCCTTACTCAACTTTTGGATATGGATTACTTGGGTCCAATATCACAGATATTATCTGATGGATCATATAATTCAACCTTTGATTTTCAAATTAATGCTGCCAATGTTGGAATGGACCCATTTGCAAGACCACCACAGCTGCTTGAAATGACTAACCCTTATGCAGCAGATTCAGGAAAGTACCAAGTGAAACAGAATAGCAACATCAACCAGACGATATTTATGAACCAAGTGTATGATTAGAAAGGGTAACACCAATAAAAAATGAAAATGGATTATTTAGGCATGACGATAAGCGTCACATAAAATAATCCTGAAGATTCTTTGTAGAAATATATATATTACATCACTTAAATGAATTTTCAGTGATCCAATCTAATATAGCTCACGTAGACATTGTTTATACACTTTTTTTTTTTTTTTTTTTTTGTAAAAAAGGACAAGCTGATTGGTTTTTAATTTAAGTTCACAAATCTGGAATTACATTCCTTATTCCGATACAGTTCAAACCAGATGATTATGTCATGCTTTGGTAGCATTTGAAGTCTAATTTGGTTAAGCTTTCCATTGCCTTCGTGCACATTATTACAATGATTGTTTATTTTGACCAAGGATACAATTGGCAAATTCTGAACTGTAAGTCAATAATTGAAGCACACAGGGGTTTCCAAATCAATTGTTATTTTAATTGTGATTGGTTTGTACCTTGTGTTACTTATCCAAAATGGTGACGGCAGTATTGATAAAGATGGTCACTAAACCGTGTGAAAAGCAAGCAAATGACGTGTTGAGAAGGTTGGCATGTGCATGCGCGCCTTATAGTAGATGTGGCTGAGGATCACACATTTCAGACTATAATATAATTAAGGACAAATCCTTATATTTGCTTCGTCAGGAAAGTGTTACTTAATATAAATAAGTTCAAGTTAAACAAATTAATCATTTGACCGAGTCGTATATGTTCATATTAATGTTATATTTTAATTTGGTTGAATGCTAGCATTCTAGGGATGTTTGGTCTATGACACAAAGCAGATGAGATGAAGCATTTCTGTGGACTTACAAATCCACAAGCACTTCAAGATTTTGACTTATTATTACTAATAAATAAATGAACTATACCATTACCCGTTATTGGCATTTCAACAGCCTAATCTCACATGATTAATATAAAAAACGGATTATTCAAGCATTCATTCTCTGACAATGGATTACAAGTATCTTTGAAGTTTCAAGGATCTTGGTAAACCAAAGGAACAAGAAAGAGCCCAAAACAATCTCTTTCTTAGCAGCAATTGAAATACAAGTATTGGCTTGTCTATTGTTAAATGTTGTGGTATTAGTGCCACTATCAATCTATACATGCATTACATTGCTAATTTTGCTAATGGGGAACACACACTTCAGATTAACATTAACAATTATATTAAGGTAACCTACGTCATTATTCTCTTCAAGGTCCCCTACTAATTTCAGACTGCATTTTTTCTTTTTGGGAATCCTGCCTGACACATACGTGAATTACAAGTCATTTGCACTTAACCATGTGGATCATATTTTCAAAGAGAGTAAAGTCCAGACCAACTTTTTTGTTTCATTTTCACACTGTTCGGGTTTTTTATGGAATAGATTGTATTGACTCTAATTGAAGTGCCAGTTGTATTATTCATGTACAAAACTCAAAGGTTCTAGTACTCAAGTATTCAAGGAATTTTTAAGCCGCGGCGAGATAGTGTAAGTCGGCACCAAGACAATTGCAGGCGTCTTCAAACTTCAATAGTACTTTTATGGTTGCAAGTAGAGTTCATGACTGGAGAGACCAACATTAACGTGCTTAGCCAACAACAACATTAGGTGGATTTAATTACCATAATTCAACCTAAAATCTTAAGGAATTAGGTGTATAAATCCTTCCACTTATATCGTGTTTACTCAATTCATTTATAATTAACGTGAGATTTCACTCACTTATATTTAAATTGGGAAAAAGAAGTCTCATATTGTAGAAAATTTAAAATTTCATGTTATAGATATAATAAGTATGAGCCACACCTATTTAAAACAAATAAAAACAAAAAAAGCGTGGCACACCCTTTTATGATATTTGTAGGAAAGATTTGTTTTCTCCCATGAAAAACAAACCCCATTTAGATTTCCTTGTATTCATTTCATCTTTTAAATTAACTGGCGCAAGCTTTTCTTTGCTTAATGAAAGCACAACTTTAAACTTATCCTTTGACGTTGCAAACATCATCGAACTCTGTTTCATAGATCCACCATGCATGGAAAACGAAAAAAGTTCGAAATGTTTTTTAAAATCGCCATTTCACATAAGTATCATAACTAGTGTTTTAAAACCCGACCCAGTTATTGACTCGGTCGAGGTACTGAGATATTGAATCGTTGATTCAACCGGTAGATCACTGATTCAATCAATTTAATTAAATTTATATTAAATTATATAATAAAGATATTAAATTATATAATAAATTATAACTATGTACCACCCGTAATACAGAATTAAATTTCTCAAGAGAGAGAAAAAACATAACTTTAATATTATAATATGTATTACCTATAGGTCATAGTTATACTTTTTTTACCGCACCAAACCTTAGATCCAGTCATATGACAAATCATTTTGCATATATATATATATATATATATATATTGGGGCAGGATCCTTTGACACCGGTGTTAAACTTTGAAATTTGACACCAAATCTTAACAGTTAATTTTTGCTAATTAACGGTTATTATCTATTGGGAATTAATAGTTAATTAATAAGTTTGATTCCCAATAAATATAACCGTTGATTGCAATCAACGGAAATCAACGGTTAAGATTTAATGTCAAATTTCAAAGTTTGACACCAGTGTCAAAGGATCTTATCCCATATATATATGTGTGTGTGCAAAAAAAATTAAATATTTCTTTTTTAATAATTAATGGAAAAAGTGTGTATCATTTTAAAGGATGTAAAGTTATGTCATTTTAAGTAAGAGAAAGAGATAAATAAAGGAAGAGAGAGAGTGGACAAAAAAATATAAAGATGTGGGTTGCACCTCTTTGTGAGAGTGAAAGAATATAAGTTGTGTCATTGAAAAGGACAAATACTTTTCCCATAATTAATTACGAATACACGACTGTTTTACAACTAAATACAAATATATTGCACTCAATCACGCCCAACGTGGGGCGTATTCCATGAGAGAGAGACACTTAGCATGGGGGGTGACCTGCTAAGAAGAGAGACACACCTGGGTTAGGGCGTGACCTAAGAGCTCTATAATTGAATCATTGGTTTGTAATAATTGAATGCCTCACAATACTGTCTGAAAATCCCGAAAATGTGATGAAATACACATTTTCCAAGTACCAGTCGGTTCGCCTCAAAATAATCATTTATTTGGATATTATAAAAAGAACCTAGTGAAAAGTGAAACATATATTCACAAAACATGGGCAAAAATGCATAAGATTCCTCCCAATCACCATACATCATTACAATTGCTTTCTGCTTCGCATACCATACCTTTCTATATGAAACTTTGAATCCATACGAATGAGTGATCCTCTCCTGAATCAGTGCAATTGAGACTGATGATTTCTTCTTTATAATCTCTATCAATGAAATTGTAACGTACACATTAAGACAAACAAAAATATCATTAATTTTTATAATCATCAAATTCTGTAATAACGTACCTACTACGAGTGAAACAATAACATCAGAATCAAATTGTCTGTGATCCTGAGAAATATGGTCATTTAAGCAATTGTGATTTCTACCTCATTTCGTAACCTTTCAATTTTCACCGTACATTGGTTTTATAACCCTAACCCTCCACGGGCAACTCCGCTCATAGACTCAGCATTTCATGCTTAACTTTGTAGGCGTGCTCTTAATCACAATCGCTTCTTGATGCTCCTTCATTAGGTTCCGCTTGATTGTCATCTGGGCCTCTTTTTTGGATGGAAATTCCTGTTTAACAAACAATTTTCCCCTATTTTCCATGTACCCTAGACTGAACCTGAACCCTCGATATAATATTCTTATTCGCTCGGATGATCCCAATCAAGGTATGTGTAATGTGGAATTCCATTCGAAAAAGGATTAACAACATAATCACCTGCATGTACGAATAAATAATAGTAACAAAAATAAATATTACATAAACAAAACCATATATGTATATTTGAGTTGTTTACTAACATACTTTCAGGATATTGTGGTAATTGAGTCGAGCCCATGTCATAATGTTCTAAGACTCGAGACTTCCCCCGATCATCATACCTTGGATTTGAGTCGCAGATCGATCACGATCCTCATCGTTGTTCGAAGAACTATCATCCTCGGCAAGAAGACGTTCTTTCATTTCGATATTTTCATTATCGTCATCATTATAGTCGTCATCCATCACTCAGGTAGGGTCATTTTCATCTTCCTCAGACATGTTAACAACTGGAGTAGCTGATAAATATGCATTATATGGAGAATCGAAAGCAACTGACCTCATGAGTAAAACAACATCCTATGCGCCATCAATATCCACGTATAACTCTAAGAAATCTTTTCTTGATTAGTTGAAGAATTCTTCCATTACCATTTCTACATTCTCATCATCCACAACTTGCAAACTAATGTATTTTGTTCACATTGCCATAATCTTGCACTACAAAAAATGAGGTGATTTGTGGAGGTTATTTACTGGAGGTCAATAAAACCCCCAGAAAATATATGAATTGTGGCATTTTTTTTTGAACGCCAGTTTGCAAATTTTTTTTTTGTTAATTTATATTAAGCGGCAGGTTTTGACCCCCAGATTTCATATAAATTTTTGAATAATTTTTATGACCGCTACAATTGTTTTTTCATCAAACCCCAACACTAACGCCTTTGTCTTCTTCTTATTCTATCTCTGAACTATTTCTTACAGGAAACTAACAACACTAAGGTATTTTCATTGCAAGGCAAAGATAATCCACACTAACGTATTTTCTTCTTCACGCTTTCATTTTCTTCTTCGTCACTTCACATCTTTATCTCTTACAAGGAACTAACCTATTTCTTTGAAATTTGTATTTTAGGAATTTTTCTTTGTTCCAACCACAATGTGACTTTAAAATTGGACGTGGTTTGACGGATCCACCTCTCCAACCAAAGCTCTCATCCCCAAGTCTTTTGCTCTTCTTCTCTACAACTTATACCAGCAGGTTCGTTAACCATTCTTCATTTTTCGATGTGGATTCCTGATTTGCCTTTTTGGTTCGCTTAAATCTTTGAACGTGGAGTTGATATTTTTTTTCCCCTTTGTTTCATCATCTTGTCGGTGATGGCATCATAAACAATTTTGTATTTGCTACTACTTTGTGTGGGTGTGATGTTTCGGTAGATCTGGTTTTTATACGTTTGATTCGTTGATGGGGGAAGGTGGATGTGGAAAGAAAAGTGCACGAGGAGTAGTAATGTTGGTTATTGATATTTTATTGAACTTCTGAACTTGTATTTTTGGTTCCGTGGACTGGGACACTGAAAATTATTTGCATCTCAATTTTTTCCTTTGACTGGATAATAGTGCCAAATAGTGGAATTGTTGCTTGGAAGCTGCAATTATGATTCCGATTTTAAGAGCTGGAAGAAAGGTGGTGATTTAATTCATCTATCAAGTGGCTGCTTATTACATGGGGTATAATAAAAAAATATAAAAAAAGATAAAGTTGGCAGCACAGTATGTGGGAAGACACGCACATACCCACTATAATTTCTGACTTCTTCAAATACCCAAATATATATATATATATATATATATATATATATATATATATATATATATATATATATAAAAAAAAGTATGTTTGGAATTCATTTTTTATGTCAGTACTTAACTACTTGTTTACTGATTCGTTTCTTTCATTTGTGTCTTTCTTTACACAGGGCTGGCCAATCTCTGTGTCTCAGGTTAGAGTTTCTTCAGATGACTTTTCTCAAATGTATATTTTGATATAAGCTTCTTATTAGTATTCTTTATTTATTTCTTATATAATGTGAACTCTGCCCATCTTAGTTTTCATGATAATGATGGCAATTCTACCTGGCAATCTGCCACATCTAGTAGTTACTTATCATCTTATTGACATAAGCTTTTTTTCTGTAGACTCTCAAATCAGACACTGTTCTTTATATAAGCTAATTGTGTGCAATCTTTTCAGAGATACTATGGTTTGACCATATTGGATCAATCTAGGAGTTTTCTCTATTGTTTTAGGTTCACTTGTATTATAATTTGAAGTTATGAAAATTACTTCCTTGAAAGAGAGAAAGAAAGAAAAAATTCAGAAGCAATTTTGCAATTCAACCTTTTCCTTTAATTTTTTTTGTTTTGAGTAGCAGAAATTCAGAAGTCAGAAGTGCAATAAGCTCTCGTCAATAAACTTGCCACTACAGGTCTAGGAAGCATATATGATCCATAGAAGTTCTGAATATTGTAAAAGAAATGTTTCTCCAAGGAACTAGAATAAGCTGTGAATAGTAATAGCTAGGGGAGTGATAGTCTCAGCAAAGGGAGAAAAAAAATAAGAAAAAAAAATTATTGATACTCACCATGCTTGTTTGAGTCCTCTGCTCTTGATTTCTTTTCTGCTGTACCCAAAAAGAAAAAATTGTCCAGGAAATGTGGCCATGAGATGAAATAGAATAGCCTAGCTAGGCAGAGTTGTGTGAATTATTAGTTTGGATCAATTAATACTGTGATGGTGCTTGAAATAAACTATCCTAATTTTAAAGTAGTGATTGTGCACGGAGATAAGTAAATAACACTTAGGGAAGGAAATATTAAAGTACAAATTCTAGAGAAGACAATTGTGGTGGCAGTGACATATAGTTGCGACAGTGCTCAGGTAATGCCCGTTAACTTATTATGATGCTATTATTAAGAGATTGTTAGATGGTTTTCTAAAATTTGATAGATGGAAAATTTATAAATCAAAATTTCATGTAATATTTTTTTTTTAATATGTAAATTTATATATGGTTTTCCCATTTGAAGATTTTTCTCTTAGATTCACTGATTCAGTGAGTAGCTGAATGGAATCTCAAGTTTCTGCAATTCAGAGTGAGGAATATAAGAAACCATAGTTTTCTTAAATTTTCTCGGTACCCAAACAAGAAAAAGCAAGAGTATGCAATTGGGTAATCAAGTTGAAGAATAAAAGTTTGGTCTTGGAATGTGTCATTTACTTATTAAGAGATTGTTTGATGGTTTTCTAAAATTTGATAGATGAAAAATTTATAAATCAAAATTTCATGTAATATTTTTTTTATATGTAAATCTATCCATATGGTTAGATTACCAAGCTCTTGGACTTTCGGAACATGGCTTCAATACTGCTTGCATTACCAAGCTCTTCCCAACACGTTCAGACACTGTTGCAGCTCAAGTATGAGATCTTATAAGAGCTTTCTGCAATAAACCCCCACAAACTATGTTGTGGCGAAGGCAGAACTGGGGGTTTGGGTGAATGCCACAAATGTCTTTTGTGGGGGTCAAAGACCTCCACAATATGAAAATATGACCTCCACAAATCACCTCATTTTTTGTAGTGTTGTCGTACTCAGAGTGATAGATTGGTTACCTTCGAGAGCTAATTTTTGGCGAATTTTATGATGCAGATCGCCAACTGTTGAGTTTCGCTTAATACATGTTGGCCTTTTCTCACCTTCAAAATCTACATCACGTCGACCTTCCACTTTCCTACCATTATAATATAGAATAACACGAACATAATCAAAATTTGAACTCATTCTGAAATAAATTAACGAAAAACACAAAACAAAGTATGAATATTTAGTGATAATGTATGTAAGAGTAGAGTCTATGATGGAGAAAAGTTGTGATGAGAGTGGAGAGGAGAGGGATTTAAATAGGGGAGAACTGGGTTACTCAAACGCAGATGAGGCAAGTTAGGGCCTTGGGTCACGCCTTAGCCCAGGCATGTCTCTCTCCTCTGCAGGTCACGCCCCATGTTGGGCATGCCTCTCTCATGGAACACGCTCTATGCTGGGTGTGAGTGGTCATGCCCAATTTTGGGTGTGACTTAGTACAATACATTCGTATTTAGTTATAAAACAACTGTGTATTCGTAATTCATTATTAAAAAACAATATTTAATTTTTTTTTGCCTATATATATATATATGGGTTATATGAGTGTCAAGTAACTGGATATAAGTTTTTGTCCAGTCACTAAATCATAATCGTACAAAGGTGGATCAATGGTAATAAAGAAAGAGAGAAAAAAAGGGAATCATAATTATACAAAGGTGAATCAATTAATATAAGAAAATAAATAAACAAAACGACGTAGTTTAATCATAACTTGATCATTCACTGACATGACAAACAATAATCCCTATATATATATATATTCAAACCACTAGAATTGGTCTAGTAACGAAGGATTTTGATAATTTATATTAGGTTATGTGTTCAATTCCCATATCTAAAAAAGATCATTCATTCATTTATTGTCACATCAATAAAAGATAGCATTCAAATCTGAGCTGATAGCAGTCTCTGGTTGAAATCCCATTTCAAGCTCATAGCATTCTCTGGTTAAAATCCCATTTCAAACTCATTGCATTTCAAATAATTCATCAATTTCTAGTATTTTCTTTATTTTCAGGTTAGGCTTCCATAGATCAAAATATTGGAGCTGTGATCATAAGGTTTAGTGGTATACTACACCAGCATATGTATTGATCAAATGACAATTTTCTAGAAGTATGTGAGTCTAATTAAGTGAAGTGCTCTCAAAACGTTATTTTGTCCATTGGATATGCAATAGGACCAATGTGCCTCGTTTAAGGTATGCACAGATGAGGATAGCACCAACTACTTTGTTTAGACTATAAAAATTTCATTTAGTGCGTGGCTTACCATACACAGTCTTGATATATCTTCAAAATGTTGCAAGGTTAATCCTACCGGTAAGCTATTGATTTTAACATAATTAGTGTTTATATTTATACACAGGATAAGATCAACTTAGGTGTAAATGTTAATCCAGCTATTGATTTTAACATAATCAGTGTTTATATTTATACACAGGATAAGATCAACTTAGGTGTAAATGTTAATCCTGTTTACATCCAATGTTTATATATATATATATATATATGGGGCAGGATATTCTTACACCAGTGTAAGAGTTAGAAATCTTACACTCAATCTTAATCATTGATCCACTTGTATCCAATGGCTCATATTACTAAAAAATTAGAGCCCTTAGATATAAATAGGATCAACGGATGAGATTAAGAGTGTAACTTACACTGGTGTAAAATGATCCTGACCCTATATATATATATATATATATATATATATATATATATATATATATATATATATATATATATAAAGGAAAATATTTTTCTTATGTTGTTGGAGATGAGTTATCTTATGTTAGTGAAATAAAATTATAAGAGGGATTCACACATAATTGGAGAGAAAAAAAATAAAGGTGGGACCCACCTTTGTTATGTGTATGCAGAAATTTGGTTTATCTCATGTTGAATGAGATAAATATAACCCATATATAAAAGTGTGTGTATTTCACTTGCTTTTAACGGTTCCCATGACTAATAAATTAGAGCCGTTAGATAAAAATAAGATCAATGAATATATATATATATATATATATATATATATATATATATATATATATATATATATATATATATATATTACACCAACGTAAATTACACTCTCAATCTTGGCCATTGATCTTATTTATATCTAACTGCTTTGATTTTTTAAATTAGTGAGCCATTAGATTCAAACAAACCAATGACCAAGATTTGGTTTAAAATTTTTTATTCTTACATCGGTATAAAAATAACCTACCCTATGTATATATATTTCCTATTGATATATATGCTTCATAGTCATAGCCAAGATTGAAAAATTAGGGAAGCCAAAACAGGGAAAAGTAAATTTAAAAGAATTCATGGATTAAAAAGCATCCAAACCATATCAACAAAGAGCAAGTAATAAACAATGTTGATGCTTCTATAAGAAAACATAAATTAGCACAACCATGTATGGTTGTCTTTTTTAGAAAGATGTAAGGCTATTACTAAAGATAATTGTATGAAAACAAATTGTGAAATATCCACTCACATATATGATCATTTATAGTTTTTTATTCTTCATCTGTTCATGGGAGATCAATTAATATCTAGCTTTTAAACATACACGAACCCAAGCAGGAGCTAGGAAATTAGTTTCTGCTTACTTTCTTGCCATTCTTTGATGTCAGCATCAATTTTTGCTTGCACTCTTGAATGAAATCCTGGATACGACTCATAACCAAATAAAGTCTGCAGAGCCTATATAAAACAAATAGCCAGACATAAATGAATAAATTCAAGCAATACACTAATATTAAGAAAGGATAGAAAAACACACAGGAGAACAAACAATATTAGGTGAAATATGAAATTTACAAGTACAATACCTCCAGCAATACAAAGAAAGGAGCCATTACCAAGGCTTGGACGAGGTCATCCAAAAGAGAAGGTGCTCGTTTCTGCAAACAGTGAATCTTAGGCGCATGTAAAAAAGGATAAGTCAGGGATTGAGTTATTATAGCAGCAAGCAACTTACCTCAAATACTCCATGACCAACGAACTGCCCTGTCCAACATACTAGCTGAACCACCAGAACAACCTACGTATGAGATTGTTTGAGAATTGAGATCAAAGAGCAAAAAGCGACAAATGTTATGTTGATGTTTATCCATGCATGAAGCAAATATTATTCCTATATGCATTTGACAATATACATCTTTAGTATGATTTCATCTAGCTAACAAAAAAAAAACAAAAATGCAGCATGGTTATTGAGTGTCAGAGGATGCTGTCCCCAAGCCATGATTCCAAAATATTAGGAAGATCAGGTTTTATTTGGCGGGGTTGAAAGGAGCGAGGATTAGAATTGCAATAATAGCAAAAAGATGGAAAACTTCAAGCCTAATAACAAATAAGATATTATCCCAAAAAAATAAAAAAGTATTACTAAGAATAAAATAACTCTAAAAGTATCAGTAATCATAGTATTCAATGCATTTGTAAGGGTCGCTTTAACTAGCAATGCCAGACACCATTCTCAAACTTAACATGTCAAATTCTTGAAAAACCTCTATACAAGTCTAGGACACAACGATACTCAGCCATTGTAGGATGAGTAAGTTATGTATCAGACATCTGGTATTCTCGCGCTTTCCCTTTAAATACAGAACTTCCAGATAAAATTGCAATTTTGAGGCAGCCTATATGAAAATAGGCTAAATCCATAATGAAGCAAATGATACAACTATGCTGGGCTTTATTTTACCAACAAAGCCCAGCATAGTTGGTAGATAACTGGGTTCCTTAAGCATGCTGACAGGGGTTCGATCTCTGGCCGTGTGCATGGAAAAGGCTTTGTTGGGAGAGGTTTACCCACTTAATGTGATAAGGCATGTTGTTGTTATTGCATCTAGATTAGGCTTTTGCATATGTTCCTTTTTCATCTCTATCTCACACATTAACCTATACACAAACATTATATAGGCTAATGTAGTTTCCATTTCCACAATTTAATTGTTCTGTGGTCAAGTTAGAGAATTAAATAGATACAAAAAAGACAAATAAAGGAAAACAGGTTTCCATCTCCAATATGTGTGAATCATAGATGACAAATAAGCGTGGTTGTCACTAGCAGGCAAAATGGAAATCACAAAAAATAGAAGATACTTAGAATCTCATATCAATAAAACCCAACAACCTGATTTACCTTCCAAGCTAGAGACAACCCAAGTAGGCTTGCAACAAAACTGCTACTCACCCAACAAATAGCACAAAGCAAAGCAGCCAAGGAACCAGCTTTGAAGTCCAAAGTAACATAGAAAATTGCATAGATCAAAGCAACTAAGAACCCAACATTCCAAACCAAGAACACATGGTTCCCCCACAGGGAAAACTCCAAATTTGGAAGGTTGAAGAAAGGAGGGATGAAGTAGAGAATAAGAAGGGTTGAGAAAAAAATTGGCCAAATGAATAACACATGGATTGCTATGTTAACTGGGTTGCTGTGGTAAGCTCCGTAGAAAGCGAAATGGTTTTCAAGATCAAACAGTCCAAACTTTCCCATCGCCAATAAAAGAAAACAGTCCAACCCTTGTTTGTTTGTTTTGGAAAAATGAATGGTTTTCCTGGTCTCGAGAAAATAAATGGGGTTACGTTAAACTAACACGATTTGAGAAAGTGATTGGATTGAAATACGGAAACTCTATCATTCATATGTTGTTGTTGTTGTTGAGGTGTCATGGTTCAGCAGACTGGGAAACAAGGAAGGAATCTATACACACAAAGACTTGGTGAACTGGTTTGTCGTGCTGTCCCGTTGAATACAAAGACCAATAATTTTACAAAGCCCGCCAAATATTTATCTAAGTTTTGGGCCGTGCACGTGGGAACATGTTAAAAAAAAAAAAAACAAACATGAACTCATATATTTTTATGTTTGTATAGAAAATAATTTTATGATCTCATACAATGAGATAAGATATTCTTATTATCTATTTTTATACTATCAACTTATTATTACTCTAATCACAATTGGATCTCATTTTTTAGCCGATAAACTCTGGAAAAAAAAAACTTTTAATGTACTTTCAAGAATACATAATTATATTAGAGTGGTAGTAAATTATTAATAGAAAAATTTAGTAGTAAGAATATATTTACTCCTCATACAATATATGAAAAACACTAAACCCATTATTTATATAAATTTTGGATCAAAGATTTAGTACATATTCACTAATTTGTAGTTTCTTGCTAAATTTATGCAAAGCAACTTTCATATAATTTTTTTAACAATATCTAGTAAATCATAAACATTAATTACTAAAAGTTGTTACATTTATATTTTATCCAGGGGAAAATTACTCTTTAAGACTTGTAATTTGTAAAGATGCAAAAACCCATAAAACTCATACTTTGTGAACAAAAAAAAGTATAAGTAAGATTTTAATTAGGTCAATTGTTTACTAAAATATAATTTCTTCAATGTGTTGTGCTCTTAAAATTATTTGGAAGGGGCTTAGTTTTACGCGAATGCTAGTTGAAAATCTAATCCACATGTAATTAAAGATAAAATAAAAATGTAAGATATAATTTATAATACAAAAAATACAGGATAAATTATAGTTCATGATTAAAATTTAATTTGCCTCTATGATTTTAAAAGTCATTACTCAAGAATATCGCTATTTTTTTTTTTGCAAGAATAATGATATTGAAGGTTCATGCATTCATTACGTGTTAATCATATTTAACGAATTATTAAATATTTATGATAAAATTAGTAATTAACAAATGAATAAATATCCTTTTGGGTCCCTAACAAAAAACACAGTCCCCACTTTAGTCCCTTACAAAAATAAATTACTCACTTAGTCTCTAACAAATTCAAAGTGGATCCATTTTAGTCCTTTTGAGAGACTTATATGGGTCTTTTTTGAATTTGTGAAGGACCACGATTTCAACTAAATGGATCCACTTTAAATTTGTTAGGGACTAACTCACTAATTTATTTTTGTAAGAAACTAAAATGAGGACCGTATTTTTTGTCAGGGACCAAGAAATAATATTTATTCTTAACAAATCGTTAACATCTCTTCTCGAGGAGGATATTCAACGACTTTTAAAAAGTGACACTTTACTAAGTGGTTTTCCTTTATTATTATTATATGGGAAAAATGTGGAATATAAATTTATATTTTTTTAATAGAGAAATAAATACAAAAAAGTATGAGTTCTACTGAAAAAATAAAGATAAAAAAATTAAATGTGTGAATTTTATCCTTTTATGTTTATCTCTCTTTTAAAAGGATATAAGTTTGTGTCCTTTAAAAAGACACATATTTTTCCCTCATCATATAATCATAATGTGGCTTTTTTTTCCTCATATTTTTAGAAATATTCTTATATGGGTTTGAGAGTAAATATTTACGCACAATCTTAACTTTGAATATAAAAAAATGTTAAGCTATAAAAATAACATCTTAAATTAGAAACTTTTATAAAGAACATCAAATATTTAATTGCAAAAAACAAGGAAAAAAATCCAACACAAAAAATGTGATTAACAATTAAGAAAAGGGAAAAATTCATACACTCCATGTGATTTACTTTTTTTATCGTTTATATCTTTATTTTTTTTATCAATTACGCCCCCGTGATTTTTTTCATTCAAGCTCACCTTTAATACTTTAGTAATTAAACCAATTTATCTATTTTACTCTTATTTTATGTTTGGAGTTTTGCTTATCAAAAATAAAAGTTGACCCTAAAAATAAAAATGATAGCAAAATCTACTTGATTATTACTAAAAAACCAACACGTTGGAAGAACACTAGTTGTTGGAAGGGACTGAAAAAATTTCACAGAAGATAATTTATAGTTAGATATGACAAAATAAAAGAAATCTCGTTAACTACAAAAAGAAAAAGCAATCAGAGAACATTAATCACAACATCAATATGCAAATTAAGGTATCTTATCTTTTTATCTTTCTCCTTTTTATTTATACAATTCAATATTAATATTATATTTGAGAAAGGATTCCTATACACCATATTTTTTATATGATTTATCATACTTTTTATATTCAATAATAAAAAAATGTTGATATATATATATATATATATATATATATTATTAATTAAAGAATTAATATAAAATTATAAGAAAATAATATAAATAATACATAAATAATATCGTTATGATAACATTAAAAAGATAAAATAACAATTTATTGTCAAACAATAGAGGATTGGTTCAAGAATAATAAAAGAAAGACCCATTTGTTTAAAAGTGATTATATTCAAATTTTTGAATGTTAACCTTGTTTGTGAAATTATTTTAAGGATGTTCTGTCCATTCTATGAAACCTTTGAAAGGGACAAGACAGATAATTGTTCTTCATGTTTTTATCATGAACCTTAATTTCGCTTATTTACTCTTGGTGGTCAAAATTTTTATATCAAATTAATTTACAAGTAAAATAGGGGTAAATGGGCAAGTTAGTTTAATTATTAACAATGTTAAAGGTAGATTTGGATAAAATAAAATTATAGAAAATAATTATTAAAAAAATACTAGGATTAAGTGATAAAAAAATAAATCACATTGAAGTTTATGAACTTTTCCCTTAAGAAAATTATAAATAAATTTTGAGTTAAACTACGATCCTGTTACAGCAAAATCACAAATTTGTCCGGTTGATAAATAGATCTTTATGCTTTCTTTTTCATATTTTTTTTGAAAAAAAACATGTGGACCCATCGGTTGTTTTGTGTCAACATGAAATGTTTATGTTTTCCAGTAACATGACCCTCGTTTTACCCATAAATTTTCTAAATTATAAAACAACAATACTTCACTTTATTACATTATAATTTGGCTAATGAAAAAAATCGCAACGTAAATAATTATAACTTTACCAAAAATGTAATGCAGATCAAATGACTAACCGGTTCCCCCTCCCCAAAGAAGATAACGATTCCACGTGGCAAAATGTTGAGGTCCAAGTATGTATATACCGGGCAACACGGTCAGCAGAACAGGACCTGCCCGAAAATTCAGAGTCCAAAATCCAAATTATCTTGAACGCTCACCACCTACAGTTTTACATACACACCAATTATCTAGAACCATGTCAAGCTTCACTCATGCCACAACATTGCTTCATGCTCACATCAAAACCAAGCATAGAAACACTTCCACGAACAACCCTTTACCCCTTAACCAAGCACCATTTTCTGGTGAACAAAATGTGACAAACAGAAGGAAGTTAATTTCAACATTTCTTGCCACCACTTCAGTGCTTGGAATGCATGTCACAATGACCACCCCACTAGCACTAGCCCAGAATTGGGGCACACGTTCCTTCCTCTGGGAGCATTTCTTCGAGCCAGGTCTTTCTCCTGAAGATGCAGTGGCAAGGATAAAACAAACTGCTGAGGGACTACATAGTATTAGGGACATGTTGGAAACCATGTCTTGGAGGTATGTCATGTTTTACATACGCTTAAAACAGGCCTATCTTGACCAGGATTTGAAAAATGCTCTCTCTACTTTGCCTGAAAATCGCCGCAAGGAGTATGTCAAAGTTGCTAATGAGTTGGTTGACAACATGGCTGAGGTATGCTTAATTGTGCTTGTTTCATTTTTCTTGTTTGTTTTTAACATTTTCATGGTTGATTATTATTATTATTGTTTATTTATTTATCTGATTACCTATTGTAATTAATATGAACTTAGGGGGCGTTTGGTTGAGGAGAAACTTTTTGAATACTAGGGAAATAGAATTGATAGGGAAAAGATAAGAAAGTTAGATAAAGTGAGATAGATAGAAAAATGTTAAAAAAAGTTGTTTGGTGGGGAAAAACTTTACTAAGGTAGTGTTTGGTTCGGGAGAAATTTTTTTTTACTAGGAAAATGTAATTGATAGGAAAATGGTTGGAAAGTGAGTTTGATAGGAAAATGTAAAAAAAGTTGTTTGGTTGACCCAAATATTACCAGGAAAATTTATTTAAATATGCAAAATCTATGTTCGGGAGAAACTTTGCACCTGTTTTTTCACTTCCCCAGTCATCTCAAAATACCACATCTCAAGTGGTATTCTGTAACAGTGAATTTCATCCAAAAATCAACACAAAAGTCGTTTTCCCATCTATCCTATTTGCCTGGTATTTCTTGAAAAAACCTGAACCAAACGTGGTATTTTCCAATATCCACCTACACTTTCCCATCAATCCTAAAATAAACTTTCAACCAAACACTACCTAAGTGTTTTGCTTCATTTTCCTAGCTATCTTTGAAAAACCACATACAAATTGGCTTTCCTAACAGTAGAATTTCCTAGCTATCTACCACAAAATGCTGAAATCTATGCAAATCACTTAGATGAGGAAATTGAAGGAAACCGTGAACCAAACATGGTTGTTTTGCTTTCCCACTTTCACTTGCATAGACATCCTCAAGAATACCCCCAACCAAACACCACCTTAGGGGGCGTTTGGTTGAGGAGAAACTTTTTGAATACTAGGGAAATAGAATTGATAGGGAAAAGATAAGAAAGTTAGATAAAGTGAGATAGATAGAAAAATGTTAAAAAAAGTTGTTTGGTGGTGAAAAACTTTACTAAGGTAGTGTTTGGTTCGGGAGAAATTTTTTTTTACTAGGAAAATGTAATTGATAGGAAAATGGTTGGAAAGTGAGTTTGATAGGAAAATGTAAAAAAAGTTGTTTGGTTGACCCAAATATTACCAGGAAAATTTATTTAAATATGCAAAATCTATGTTCGGGAGAAACTTTGCACCTGTTTTTTCACTTCCCCAGTCATCTCAAAATACCACATCTCAAGTGGTATTCTGTAACAGTGAATTTCATCCAAAAATCAACACAAAAGTCGTTTTCCCATCTATCCTATTTGCCTGGTATTTCTTGAAAAAACCTGAACCAAACGTGGTATTTTCCAATATCCACCTACACTTTCCCATCAATCCTAAAATAAACTTTCAACCAAACACTACCTAAGTGTTTTGCTTCATTTTTCTAGCTATCTTTGAAAAACCACATACAAATTGGCTTTCCTAACAGTAGAATTTCCTAGCTATCTACCACAAAATGCTGAAATCTATGCAAATCACTTAGATGATGAAATTGAAGGAAATCGTGAACCAAACATGGTTGTTTTGCTTTCCCACTTTAACTTGCATAGACATCCTCAAGAATACCCCCAACCAAACACCACCTTAGTGTGTTGCATATCCTTATATATGTTTCAATTAGATAAATAAGATGGCTTAGGCTGTAATTAGTACTAGTTAACTTTTTCCCTGAATAAATTATGTGTATTACAGAGTGATGTCTGCTTTGTTTTTAATTTCAGTTTGATCGGTATGTTCGGTCTCCAAAGGTATATGAATCGTACCTATACTACGAGAAGACATTGAAATCAATAGATGAACTTGTGGCTATGTTAGCATAGCTCAAGGGAAGCTGCAGGGTATGGTATTTGGAATTCTAAATTTTGTTGTATAAAACGTCTTGACATTTTATATATTTTTTTTGAATTTCAAATATCAAATTGAACATAGAAGTTATCAGAACGTGAAACTTAAAGTATATTATTGTACATGTTTGTCATTAGAATGTGAAACTTTAAGTATTTCAAATTGATCGAGCACTTAAGGTATTAGAATGAGAAACTTCAATGTGAATCATGCTTGTCATAATATCATGAGAAGTTCGAAGCTGCTATAAGACATAGATTACACCCAGAAACTACAAGTTTAACATTTCAAATTGTATATATCGAAGCCTCCAACACAAGCCTATAATAGATAAACAAGCTAGAGAAACACACACTGATACCAAATCCACACTAGGAAATTTTTCATGGGAATAATCTTTTTTTTCTTTTCAAACCCACTGGCATAAACACTTGGAGCATACATCAGTTTCGAGAGATTGCCACTGCTGATAGGAGGATTAGTATTATGAACAGAACAACAGCAACAAAAGAGCCAATCAGAGAACCTGAAATACGTTCACAGAAATTGTTGTATTGTTGGCAGATAGGAAACCAATTTGCATTGGAGTTTCCATAGTGTGCTATGTATACAATGGCTGCTGCTGCAGAGGCTGCTGCTGTGAGGAGACCCAGCATTACCTTCACAAGATTAACTCAAACCTCATAAGAAAAGCTTAAGCCGTATCAAAATAAGGAGTTAACAGAACCATTAAGCAAAAGTGCTTGGAGGTCAATTCCTACTTGTTGTGTTTATAGCAATATATATAGTAAATTACTACTTGTGGATTGGAAAATGATAATGTTGAGTGTGTTTGGTTAAACATAAACTAAGCATTTCTTAATTATAATGAAAAGATATCAATTCAAAATAACAACATGAAATCAAACTAAACAACCTCTATGATTTTTTTTTTTTTTTTTTTCTAGCAATAGAGAAAGATTTGCCTTGGTTATAAGGACTAAGGAGAATATGTATGTTTACCGTGTCAAGAATAAGCAGTAGAATTCGACTTTTTACCGCAGTGCTCCTGACTATGTGGAAGAAAGATAGGACAAGTGAAAGCACTAGATAGCCACAAACAATAGAGTTGGCCGTCACAAAAAACCTGGATTTGCATGGTCACATACATCCAATATATTAATCACTCTTTTGCTAAAAAATTCTCACGCCAAACATGTGGTTTTAGAAGGAAATAGATCCTATCACACGTGATATAAAGTCATGTGAGAGCATTTTAACCTTCCAAATACAAATTAGTGATATATATATATGGATTATATAACTATCATGTTACGTGATGAAAGAGTAACTTTCCTGTTGATACAATGAAGAGGTCGGATCCATAAGTTTTTTTTTTCTCATTCCTCGTCTCACTTATTGTTTCGTCCTATAACATAAAAATTATATAATCCTATATATTATATAAAAAAACTATTTTCTCATGTTGCATTATAATTCAATTCTCGTATTGTGATATTTTGATTTGCGTGTAAAATTTTTCTTTTCTTTTCTTTTCTTTTTTTAATAAGTATGAGATCACCACTAGTTGAGTCAACATGAGAATTCAATTCTCATGCAACATGAGAAAATCAAATCCCTATACATACACACGAAAAACATTTTAGAAGTAAAGAGCACTTACGCAAATGTAGGAAGATCATCAAATTCAGCACTGAATTTTACAAACGCTGTAGCAAATGGAAGGCTCTCATTAGTTGTTCCCATGGCAACTGCGCTACCTAGTGTTGCAATAGCTGCAATAATTCTCAAGAAAAAGTCCATTATAGACAACCCTCTTGTCATCACTCTTCTTGGGGATGCAGCCTTGGAGACTTTAACCGCTTCAACTACAGTTTCCTTCATCATTCTGTTCCTACTTAAATTTTTCTGTCTCACACACACTCTGACTTCTAAGGTTTAATTTAGGATATTTAGATGGCTCTTCTTAATTATGGGTATCTAAAACATGCAGTTATATAGTTGTAGAAAAGCAAGTCATACTAGGTTTTTCCGATAAGAATCCAAGAGAGAGAAATAAGCCAATTTGAATTAGGTTAGCCAATAACAAAGTGGCTTTAATTTGTTTTTGTTTTCTAAAGCATGCCACATGCAAGTTTGTGATAGGCATGGAATGATTTTGCTTATATATAAACCTTCCACCTGCTCTTACTTGTTCAACCATGTGCTTATTTAAAACTAAAAGTGACTCTGTTCCTGCTCCAATAGAAGCATTCCTTGACTACAACAACGGCATTTGATTGGTTAATGTTTGGTGACATGTGCAGTGTGAGAATATGCAAACCCCAGATACCAAGCACTAACATGTTTTAAGTAGTTTGGTTGAAACGTTATTTATTTTGAGATAAAGTATTAAAAAAATGGTATAGTTTTATAAAATTAATCAAATAAGAATTGGGGCATATATGAATATCTCTAGCCAAATCTCTTAAGTTATTCTTGGAGTTGGGGTCTTAATAAGTAGCATATGAATTTTTCATATAGTTGACAAGGAAATATATTATTAGCCTTAAGGAATAATCACAAATCTCCAAAGTTACTCATCAGATCTTCAAAGAAATTGTGAAACTATATAATATTGAAAGCAAAATTTTGGTGGTTTCAGTACAGGCTTTATTTATATACAGGAGTTGCGGATGTCTTGTTACATAGATTTGTTCGGCAAATGTGTTATAAGTTATAACTATGTATTCCAAGAAATACATAATTATAATAACATTCATAGTTATTATAAAATCTCTCATCCTACAATATGATTCTTATATTTCCATTATATATATAGGTCTTGTAAAATGATGGTTGCACAACATTTTTTCATCCTTTTCTTTATACCATTCCTGTTTAGAAAAAAAAAGAAGGGGACTAAAAACATATTTAATGAAAAGTACACTATTTAATATATTAATTTTTAAAAAAATTACTTTTTCATTTAATACTTTCTATTTTTGAATCCTATTTCTAACTACTCGTTATAAATAATTAACATCCTCGCTAATCTTTCATCCTACTAATTATTTACAATGAAATTTGATCGTTTGTGACAAAAGATAAATAATTTTTCTTGTAGTATTTGCAATATCATATATACCACAATATTTGGCTTGCATTTATTTATGACATAAATAACTTAGGGTTAATGTTGTAGGAAAATAGTTGTCTCATGTTATAGAAATAGAATTATAAGTGGGACCCATATGTAAGAGGAGAGAAAAAAAATAAATGTGGGATCCACCTCCACTTTGTGTGTGTAAAAAACTTGTTTATCTTATGCAACATAAGATAAATATAACCCAATAACCTATTTATGTATCTTTTTGAGATGAACAGATAGCAGTCAAGAATTTCATAATTAAGGTGCTGTAAAAAGATGCAGATGATATTAATTAGGTAGTGAAGTTTTCAGCTGAAGCCAATACATTGGTTATTATTATATAAAAGAAAAACTACTGTATACAAAAAAAAAAAAAAAAAAAACTACATGGCTCAATTTCTACCCAGTAATAACAACCTCATTCAAATAATTAAATGAACTGGCCGTGTGAAGACATCTATATTATTCTAAAGTAAAACCGTTTATTGGAAACTTTGATGATGTGTCGCATTCTCCTTGAATCTGAGGTTTGTGTTCACACTTAAAGGAATTTGAAATGTTTCCTGTTATAGTAACTTTTTAAATTGTTTTTTAGGCTTATAATTTTAAAAAAATAAATTGAAAACCGATTAAGAAAATAATTTTTGACACACATAATTAGATTTCCACTATCTCTTTATTGGAAGCTGCGAAAGTTGGAAGCTGCAACAATTTATTGAATCTCATTGGGAGCTGAAAAGTTTTTTAAATTATTGAATCTTATTGGGAGTTGAGAAGTTTTTCAGAGTTATGCCTTAGTGGAAACTGATAGGTTTTTTTGCAATAATTTTTTTTTCAAATCTTTAATACGCAAAATTAAGTTTAATTTACGAAATTATTTTGTGTATAAATAAAATATGTTTCTGGATATTTTCCTGTGCTAATCGTGCACATATTTTTTCCATTCTCTGTCTTTTTATCTTCTTCGTCTTCTAATATTGTTCTAACTAACGCTCTGGCAAACAGCTCTTCTCCACCTTGCAATCATAGGGCTTCGAACAACATCTTGGAATCGTAAGCGCCGGATCGATCGCTCTCACTCTGAAATCCTCAAGGATCTCGAAGCTTCTCATTCGCGTCTCCACAAGCATTTCAAGGTTTCTTCTTCTCACGCTTTCTTGCTCTCCTTGGTTGCATCAGTTCAATAGGGTTTGTGAAATTCTTTGTGTGTGGTTACTGATGACAAATTTTTGATGGAATCTTTTTTGTAGGGTTGAACCCCTAATAGAAGATATATTGCATGAGAGTTGAACCCCCAAGTCCGACGACATCGTTGAACTCCCTCTCTTCCCTCTCCCTCTGGTCCTTTTCCCCGTCGCCATTCTTCCTCTCCAGATCTTCGAGTTATGGTACCGGATAATGATGCACATAGATCTCATCTTCAATGCTCTCTATAGCAATGTTGTTTCGGGAATAAATGATATTGTAATTTGATGATTCATGTTTTGGGTATTGGGGTATTTCTTTTTTCTTTTTCTTGTGTGTTTGTAAGTTGTGAGTTATTGGTTTTATACTTGCTGTAAACTTTGATTACGCCAGAGTTTTGTCTTCCTTCACTTTCATGTTTACACAAAAGCAACCGATTTGCTACAAAAATTATCATTAGATACTCAGCCCAAGGCCTGGGAAATTCCCGAGCCTGCCAAGAAGGTAAATTTTTTGGTTTTTATGTCTGTCAGTGATTCATGATTGAACTTCATCCCTCTTGATGTTAGTGTAGCATTTGAAACATTATAATATTAGCAGCTGAGAATAAAATGAGATCTTTTTACCTGTCAATATGGTTCAGTTGAATGGCCAGATCCCTCCATATGAACGGTCTGTAACCCAAGTGTTACAAGATTTCATTGATCCCAACATGTGTTATCTTCCGAATGGTTACCCGTCCACTGCCTATTATTACGGTGGTAAGTAATCTGATCTTTTTTTCCCCAAATGCAACTTAGAGGAAAATCTACATGGTAATGTTTCAGTGGTTTTTTGCTTTCCCTTTTCACCCATCGTTTGAATTGCTGGAAGATGGAAATGATGCTAATATGAATTTTGAAATGAATGTAGGAAAGAACAAGGATGGATCTATCTTAACATGGGAAATGAGATTTAATATAGCTGTTGGGATCGCAGAAGCCCTTGATTACCTACACAGGGAAGCTTTGAAGCCTGTTATACATAGAGATGTCAAGTCTTCAAACATTCTTCTTTCCTAAGGGAGCATGTCGTCAATTTTTGATTAGTTTCTTTGAATTATAACGCCTCTATAGTCTATATCATTAGTTTGTGCGATTATAGTTACATTAAGGGGCAAAAAAAGAAAAAAAAGAGCTGCGCCCTTTAATGAGGTGGTTTGTTGATTTAGAAAGGCAAAGTTTTTTTTTAATTTATCCTACCAATAATGTACTAATTATGGAATTGTGTTTATTATAATGCATGCATCGATGGCAATGGTTGAATATGTGAATAATTTTTGCTTAGCCATTATGTATCGTTGACTGAAACCGACCACTAGACATAATTGCATGATTAATTGTTAACCCTATTAATGTCCCACTATTGAGCTTAATTAGTAAAAAAATAAAATTATTTTGTTTATAAATAGTGGCTGGTGACTCAAAACCCAGAATTCAAGTCAAAAGCCTCATAAAACAAATTAGCTAATTACAAAGTCAAACTAAAGGAATTATAGATTAAACAAAAAAATATTTAAAATTATATATAATGTATAGTTGATTAAAAATAATTTAAATTCAAAATTTAAATAAAAAATATGAAATGACATATCTTCTATATCTATACTAAATAAAAATCATTCTTTGGCAAGTTGCTGTCTGTTTGTTGCTCTCTCCTCCAATATCCACATTCATATATAGACCACTTTAATTTTTTCAACTTTTAGAAACGTTGCAAATTTGAATTTTTATTTGATAAGTGAGAAAATATTTAAGCATTCATTACAAAATATTTCACTTTTCATATTTGAATTTTGAAATTTGAACTTGATGTGTGGAAAAATAGGTCATCATTTATTACAAATATAAAATTACACTACTTTCTACCTTTGAAATTGAGTCTATTAATTTCGCTACATTCAAGAAAAACTATAATAACAATGAAATCACTCTAAAATGTTTCCTATTTAATAAGTTTCAAATTTCATTTAATTTTGATTGAGCCATGCGTTGCAAATTTAATAAAAATATAATTATAGTATTATACCATTGTAAGAAATAGTGTACTTAGAGCTTAAATATCTTACCTCGAAAGCGTAGTCTAACTTTGTACTTTGTCTATACTTTCAAATAAAGTATATTATTTTACAAAGCAAAAAATAAAATATTTTCATATAAGGGTGGCCATTCATATTAAATTTGGAACATGTGTATATTTAAGCTAACATGTTATGTGTATATTTAACCCGAATAAAGTATATTATTTTACTGTGAATTCTAACATATGTATAATTAACCCGAATATACTTATATCAGATCTTAAATGTAGCACATTTTATTTATTTTTTGAGTTTAGATGAAACGATACAAATAATATAACTCCTTTCAAGTTATGTGTAAATAATAATATATTATTATAATAAATTAATCTCAATTTTCATTAAAAACTTTAAGTGGATTCAAGACGAGAATTCACCAGAAATTAGGAGTACAAGGCATTTTACTTAAATGTACACGAATTAAATAGGGTTAATTCTTATACATGTTAT